GAAGATTATGTGTGTGTGTGTTTGACTTGTGCACGAGGTTAATTGTTCTGTGAGCTTGTTTGGTTGCGTAGTTGTAATTGAATAAGAGTCTGGAGGGATTGTAGATCAGTGACCTTCGCGAGGAGCTGCAGGCGTCTCAATAACACTCTTATCACAATCTCAGCTGTAAATAAAAGCCAGCCGACCTTCCTCATTCATAAACACACAGGACTCTCGCTGCAATACACGAGGAAAACAGATCCAAGACTCCAGGAGCAGAAGCGGCAGCTGGGTTCTCTGTTCTCTGTGTGTTATGAGTCTATACTTACATAATTGATGACTTTCAGCTGCAGGGAGGCGGCGTCCAGATCGTACAGCTCACCTGTCAATCACACACAACTCAACACAATTACACTGATCCATCTGATTGTCCAAAACTCATTGCTAGCCGTGGGTGGTTGCTAGGGTGTTGCTAGGTGGCTGTAAGCTCAGTGCTTCCCACACATAGACTTTACCTGGGCGGGCCGCCCAAGTATATTTGGTAACACGTTTTTGCTTTTCATTTTTGTTATCCTCTTATACTTTTCTATCCACCCGGGATGATGAAACCATCCGCAATCTATTTAGAGGCCTAAAAACGTCTAAAAACGCATGGAAAACGCCGGCCGCTCCAGTGGTTTATGAGCCGCGCTCTCCACGAAGATGAAGAAGTTTCAGCTTAGGAAAAATGGATTTCCAGACATTGAATAAATATATAAGAAAAAAACTACCACTGTCAATCCATTTAAAAAAATTGCTAATTAATTGCATTTTTTTTCTGAAATTATTCGTGATTAATCCCACCTAACATTAAAGTTTTAAATATACTTTTATACTGCAATCATTTCACATTCAATCTTCAAATTAATGCAGAAACAACATAAAGACAGTATATTTTTAATATATAGGCGAGTATCACTGATACCAATACTACTGATGTCTCTATGAAATAGTTTTTTTCCTAATATTTAACCATTGACTAGCATTCAACATTACAGTATAATTGAGAGCTGTCAATTTGAACATTTATTAGACTTTAAAATAACTTCTTATTTAAGTGAACTTAAAACAATCTTCACATAAACCCATTATAATAAATGTCATATTTAGCTACCTGTGCCTAAATTAAATATACAGTTATCAAACACTAAATTCGAAATTAAATACAGATGAATCCTTAAAGCTACAACAGTTATTGGTTTCCTCTTTTTCTTTTGTTCTTTGATGAACAGCATCACGTGACGCGGATCTGACACGCTTCGTGGTTTCTCATAACTCTTTACCTTTTCTGAACCACTGCATTTCAGAGAAATGTTCTTAAATTTGACTCATATAACAAATACTTACATGCACGCAGTTTTAAGGCAGCTTTAATCGCCTTTTCGGTCACTTCATGACTTAACTGACGACATAACTGCGACATTGCATGTTTATAGTTTCTTTTGCACTTTAATATGAAATGATACAGGCTACAGCATGCACCGCCGCATTTGTGCGACCAATTGAAGAACACGTGCTACGAGCACAGTATAACGGCTGACAGGACAGGAGAACTGGTTTTTACGGACATACGGACTGACAGCATCTCATCTGACCACAGTTAAAGGAGTAGTTCACTTCAAGAATTAAAATGTCCTGATAATTTGCTCTCCCCATGTCTTCCAAGATGTTCATGTCTTTCTATCTTCAGTCGCAAAGAAATGAAGGTTTTTGAGGAAAACATACCAGGGTTTTTCTCCATATAATGGACTTTAATAGGGACCAATTGAGGGCCAAATTGCAGTTTCAGTGCAGCTTCAAAGAGCTCTACACGATCCCAGCCGAGTAATAAGGCTCTTATCTAGTGAAACCATCGCTCATTTTCCAAAAAAAATAAACATTTATATACTTTTTAACCACAAATGCTCGTCTTGCACTAGCTGGACTTCATGCCTGACGTAATCACGTTGGAAATGTCTTTTTATTCTGGAAGTGAACTAATCCTTTAAATATTTAATTTTGATCATCATTAAAGTGATTTTTTTTTCTTTCATAGAATTGTAATATTTCAAATGCATGCTAATGGTGTAGTCGAGGACTTTTGTGGTAAATGGATAAAAAGTACTTCATATCCCCCTAAACACAGCATAATCTGTATCAAATCTGTGTCACATGTAGTAGACCATTTCTGTGCCGTGGGTAATAGGAGGATATGTTTCAAACCTGTGGGAAGCACTGCAGCTATAAAGTTAGTCGATGATTCTTGTTCTGAAAGTTACATTATGTCACACAGAATATCAAACTCTTTTATTCCGCAGCTCTTTAACGCTGCAGTACCACAGATGTGTTTTGCGTGTTTCTCACCACACAGCCGTAGGATCTTGCGGTCGAGCTCTCTGTAGTCTGTGTGGGGTTTGGGCTTTGCTGGTGCATTGTGGGATTGAGCATGTGGCCGTTTGGAGCATCTCTGAATGTCTCTGACTCGCTTACAGGCCACAGTGAGCTGTTGGGACACACACACACACAGTATAAACAGTGTTACTTGCATTCTGACAGTCACAGGTAGTAATGCTTATCCAGAAAGTGTCAGTAAAAGATCTACTTACTTTCATAAATATCTCACACAACTATGAATGTGATATTGTGTTTACACAACAGTTCAACTGCACAAGTGTGTAAATAAATAAATAAGAAACAACCACAGTTGTGAGCGGAACTACTTCCTTCCGCCACAGATTCAAATCTCAGGTTGCCAGTTTAACAGCTCCGTTACTAATCCGAGAATGTTACTTTAGAACTAGTAACAAAGTAATGTTGAGTTACTTCATTGAAAGCTTATTGTATCACTGGATTATGTGGAGTAGAGTATTATCAGAGAAAGATGGACTGAGAGTGTGACCCTCTGCATCTGATAAAGCATTCATTCTTCAGCTCAATCTCATATTCACAATAAAACATGAGTTTGAACGTCCGTGGAGGAAAGCGATATCTTTGTCGTACTGTCCTTTCATCTGTTAAGGGTGATTTCTGATGACAGCGCTGTTCACTGCATTTGTTAACTGCGTCCTACAAGCTGTTGTTTGAAAGTAAAAATAACGTCCTTGTTTACAACAGCGTTTCAGTCTCTTTCAATATAAAAGTCTTTAAAGCTTACTCAATTAAGAAAAATTGTCGCATCTAATGAAGGAATAATGTCACTAAAATCACCACCATGAACACACACAGTTTCCCATTAATAAATATTATTATTAAACAATATTATTTATATGAAATATTTTTATTGAATAATAATATTTAATAAACAACAACAGCCATCATAAAAGTTGCTAGGCAATTCAGTCAAAAGTACAAAGGCAGCGCTCTGATATACAGCATTAAAGTTACTTAGCCAAAACTATTTGCTCTGGAACAATTAATAGATTAATAATAAGACCAAAGAATGCCCGTTAGATTTACCCAAAACAAATTATAGCTCATGTTTAACCACTATACAGACATCAGAGCCAGAGGGAAATTGCAGAAGATCTGGCCGAGGTGAGGCTGCTCTCGGCGGGTTCATGAGCGCTGAATGGCCGCTGACGCCCTGGAGCTCACATCTCCCAAAACATCGAGACACATTTTCAAATAGACGTTATCTTTATTAACAAACCACATATTTGAAGTCTATATGAAGTCCTAAAAAACTTCTAAAACTACATTCCGTGACATAAAAACAGTATTATAAAATTATAGTGGATTTGTGCGTCCGCCATGACACTTGCTGTGAGAAATACGCCAAGCGCAGTGATACTAGTGATACTAGAGGCGGTTCCCGTGACGATATTGGGTGAACAGACCTCTCAGCCAATCAGATTCGAGGTACTTTTTTTTCATAAAATCTTTTCTCCAAGATTTTCAGTGACCGAGAGTGCTCAACGCGCTGCAAATGAAAAAAACACGTGAAAATAGAAAAAAAAAGAACTGCAAATCAATTTGACAGAATACAGAAACGGGCAAGAATACAGACCACAAAAAGCAGGATTCTACATTCTACATGTGCCAACTGTTTGTGTTGTGAGAATTTGCAGCGTGTGTGTTGTCAAATTGATGAAGATGTTTTCTTAATTATGTGTTTTTTCTTTTTCAGCGTGTAGATCTCTTTCGGCCACCGTACAGATTTTTTTCAAACATGCATATATAATTAACAGTAATTATGTTCCCTCTAGCCTTTTTATAGCTAACTAACGAACTGTGAACACTTGAAGACTTTCCTGAGGTAATTGTGACATTGACCACAAGCTGTTTTATTGACCTCTTTCTTTCGGTTGAAACGCCGATTGAGCGATTATATGAGCCGTGATACATCTCTGTCAGTTGTACTGTATTTTTAAACATACCTTCTTAAGTTCATTCATGTTTATTTCGTGTTATAACTGGTGTTAATGTGGAAGAGACTGAACAGAAGTGCTACAGCGATCTGTCACGACACATTTAAGAGCGTCAAAACGGCATGTATTGTTTGAATTCTGCGATAAAACTGACATTATTTGAGAGCTGAGAATTCGTTTCCTATGAGAAGTAACAAAGCGCAGTTGCGATTACCAAACGGGAGGCGTGCTACAAATAATGTTAAAAGAAGTGATGGAAACCGCGGATCTGGCAACCCTGATTTGGTTTTTTTATTTTTTTTATTTTGTAATTGCATTGCGTTAATGCGTTATTATCGCGTTAATATTTCAAAAAATATTTCTAAATATATATATTTTTTAATAATTAATCACAAAAACTGCTGATTAACATTCATATTAATCAGTATTGTGCTCAGGCTGTCGCCAGCTGAAAAGGAGTCATTTCAGAGCTTGAGCAGCTTGAATACAATGAATACAAACATGTATTTTCCTCAATTTTAAATTCGTATTGACTTTAACCTTCACCTTAAGACACAAACTGAAATGCATTTGCTCTTCATATCTCAGTCCTTTGATCTGTAAAGACAGAAGTGGAATCACGATCCCTTTTTCTGATCTTCATTTTTTTTTTTTTTCAAAATCTTTTTGATTTTCATCAAAAGCCAAATAATTCTGTTCGTTTCTAAATGGCCTTCAGATTCACTGCCCGTTCAGATCTGTTTTATTTTCTCTCTCTGTCATGTTCGTGATGTTTTCTTACCGACACACACACTCTTTAGTGAACACTACAAGGGCAAACGCAGCTAATGGAGGACGACAGGCTTTCATTTCTCTGCTTCTGTTCCTCCGGCTCACAGAAACACATCAGATGTTTAATTAACAGAAGGACACTGCAGCACAGTTAAATGATACGACACGAGAGTGTATATGAGAGTGTTAAACTTGTCAAATAATTCTGTAAGATAGAGAGAGCTAATGTCATTTTAGGGAACAAATAATAAAAAATAAATAAATGAAAATATACTGAAATCTATTGTTTCTGCTTATAAATCTCTGATGTTTCTTTCTCTTTGCTTTCATTGGTTATTTGTTTGCTCTCTTGTTTTTGCTCTCGTCGTGAGATGCTTTTAAAGCGTCTGATGTTAAATTGCTTCTCTAATCAACCGAATCAAAGCTCTGTGGAGTGTGTGTGTGTGTGTGTGTGTTCTGCTGCTGCTGCTGATGATGATGGTGGTATGATGAAAGCTTTTGGACCCTTATCACCTCAAATAAAACCTGAGGGGCGGTTTGGCTTTTGACTCACCGAGATAAACATGAGGATGAAAGAGCCCTTTCTGAAATATACCAGAGTTTCTGCACAAATACTGCAGTAAGAAGACCTATTTAAAGCCTTGGATTGAAATGATATGTTCTTATGGATCTATTCACACAGGGGATGAAGATCTGTTTGTGCTACATTTATTTATTTATTTCCTTTATTCTTGGTTTCATCTCTGCTCTGCTTTGATTCTCTGGGCCGGGTTTCCCAATAACGATGGATCTTAGTTCTTAAAGGGTTAGTTCACCCAAAAATGAAAATTAGCCCATAAATTGCTCACCCTCAAGTCATCCCAGGTGTATATGACTTTCTTCTTTCAGACGAATCCAGTCGGAGTTATATTAAAAATGGTCTTTGATCTTTCAAGCTGTGTAATGCCACTCAGCGTGCGTTGCAGTGCATCAGTCCAAAAGAAGTGAAATAAAATCCATAAAAAAAACATCCATAAAAAAAGTGTCTCACACGGCTCCGGGGGGTGAACAAAGGCCTTCTGTAGTGAATTTATGAGTTTTTGTAAGACAAATATCCATATTCAAAGCATAATAATCACGTTAATGTAGCTTGCGCTCACTGTTGTACACTGGAAGCAGTGACGTATGAGTCCAGTGTTGCGCACTGAATATGGATATTTGTCTTACAAAAATGCATCGATTCGCTACAGAAGGCCTTTGTTCACCCCCCGCAGCTGAGTGAGACACTTTTTTTATGGATGGGCGCTTTTTATTTCACTTCTTTTGGACTGATGCATGCAACACCCGCTGAGTGGCATTAAACGGCTTGAAAGATCAAAGACCATTTTTGATATAACTCCGACTGGATTCGTCTGAAAGAAGAAAGTCATAAACACCTAGGATGACTTGAGGGTGAGTAATTTATTTTTGGGTGAACTAACCCTTTAAGCGCGCTCTCTACGCGCGAGGTTACGAACGCTCGCCGCAATTCCACGTGCGTTAAAAATGGTCTTTGATCTTTCAAGCTGTGTAATGCCACTCAGCGTGCGTTGCATGCATCAGTCCAAAAGAAGTGAAATAAAATCCATAAAAAAAACATCCATAAAAAAAGTGTCTCACACGGCTCCGGGGGGTGAACAAAGGCCTTCTGTAGTGAATTTATGAGTTTTTGTAAGACAAATATCCATATTCAAAGCATAATAATCACGTTAATGTAGCTTGCGCTCACTGTTGTACACTGGAAGCAGTGACGTATGAGTCCAGTGTTGCGCACTGAATATGGATATTTTTCTTACAAAAATGCATCGATTCGCTACAGAAGGCCTTTGTTCACCCCCCGCAGCTGAGTGAGACACTTTTTTTATGGATGGGCGCTTTTTATTTCACTTCTTTTGGACTGATGCATGCAACACCCGCTGAGTGGCATTAAACGGCTTGAAAGATCAAAGACCATTTTTGATATAACTCCGACTGGATTCGTCTGAAAGAAGAAAGTCATATACACCTAGGATGACTTGAGGGTGAGTAATTTATTGACTAATTTTCATTTTTGGGTGAAGTAACCCTTTAAGCGCGTTCTCTACGCGCGAGGTTACGAACGCTCGCCGCAATTCCACGTGCGTTTCCCAAAAATGCCTTTAACACGAACACGCTCTTCGCTGTCCGTTTGTCAAGTGCTGAAATATTACCTTACCTTACCACCTGATGTGGATTAGAAGAAAAAAAACTTTCTAAAAGATGAACTTAATGTTCTTCTGGAGGAGGTGGAGCGAAACAAAAATGTCATTTTCAGCAGATTAAAAGGACACCATACAAATAATGAAAAATAAAACATATGGGAGGATGA